GTGCTGTTCCGCGATGAAAACCAGCTTTAAGCAACGGCGTAGTCGAACGGTGTAAGTAATCCTACAATTTTTTGTTTATAGCATAGTTTATACAGATTATTCCCAAAAAATTATACGTATTTTGGAAATGTTGAGTGGAATTAGTCTAGAATCGGTTAATTTTATAGTAGAAAACTTTTCGTACAGCCTTAGTCCGTAAAGTTCCCACCTATCGGGCTGCGATTGGCTCACGTATTTAATCATTCCTACAACGTAATTTTTGGTTAGCGTGGAACGTATCTAAGCGTTATAGGGGGGTCTACTGTATTCAGCTAATCCAAACAGGGCTCGGTCTCAATTGGTTCGGACTAGCGGGACTCTACTGTAATTGAATTACATTTCATAAAGCATTGTTTTATTATATTGGAATACATATTTACAAAATTTATTCATACAAAACTTATTTTGACAGGAATATATAAGTTTACAGGTATAAGTATTGATAAATTTATAAATATCCAATATATTCATGAGAGATTATGATATATAATATTATTCATAATTGTCAAAATAATGTGTGTGTGTGTGTGTTATTTTTTCAATAAAAATCAATTAAAATTAATATAAAATTTCACTTAAGTCTACAGTTATACAAAATATGATGAGACACTTGGTTGTGAAATTTGATAATCAATGAATTATGTGTAATTGTATTCTCATGAGGGAAATTAATGTTTGTTAGATGAGTGTATTAATTTAATTAATTTTTCTATAATTCATCTTTTGTTCAACAAAACGAAATGATGAGAGATTTTCCGTACTGAGAAATTCAGTATTATGTACAGTAAAACTTCTAAATGTTGAATTTGAAAGAAACAAACAAATAGCCAGTTTGAGATATGGAAGTAAATAAAATATGAAAAAACTTTTTATTTAGATGCAAAGTACAAAGTGGTAGAATAAGGGATGTAATTCTGCAATATATTTAAGTCAATAATTATTTAAATAAATCACCTTTGTATGTTATATTGAAGTTACTCAAAAAATCATGTTTTGCATAATACATTACAGAAAAATATCTATAGGAAAATTTAGATGATTTGCAAATAGATCTTTTTTAATGCAAATGATTTTGCAAGTTCATAAAGCACGACTGAGGTTGAAGGCAAAGGAACACAACAAAGGTGAAAGGTACAGGGGTCACCTGACAGGTCAAGGAGCAATTCGATGTGGGTTATCACCTGGCAGTTTACATACATGACACTTAACCAGGAATTTGTGGAACTTAATAGGATGGTCAGCTTCAAAAAATCAAAAAGAATTATACATACTATATTATATTACATAATTTATATAATTTGTACTAAATAATAGTAATGTAATGTAAATGAAATGTTGCTATCTTTTAACAATTATGATTTTAGCTTCCTAAAAATAAATGTAATGAATAGTGTAAGAGTTGTAGAATTTTTAAGATCATTTTAAATTATGAAATAATTTGGTATATTTTTGGTAAGATACAAGATTGGAGGTTTTATTGTATTTACAGATTTATCAATGATACTTCATGAAAGTTCATTATGATCAATAAACGTATTGAAGGATAATACTGACAATAAGTAAAATTTTTATTTTAAATTCTCTATTTTTTTATACCAAAATTCAAAACACTGTTAAAAACAATACAGACTAATGTGTTTGGGTTTGTGACAACTTACAGAGGACTTTGTATGGAAAACTTGCCCATATTTAGAAGCTATAAACATGAAGAAAATCCAGAATGTGGCCAGCTCATTGACAAGGTGCAAATCCCAACCAACTACCAGTGTTCAATAGTTTTATCTGTTTGGCCACTGGTGGGCCTTTTTAATATTATTCATTTTTTATGTTTGATGAGAGAGATTGATTCTCTAATTTCAAACTGTTAACAAGTTGTTTGGATTATGCTGTATATGGATAAGTTGATCATCAACTAAACCCAAGACAAGTTGAGATGTGTCATGGACAATAAGTTAGCAAGACATGATTGTGTAGGGTTATCTGTGTTGAAAGAATAAAGGATTTAATAAAAGATTTGTACAATAAAATGTAACTTTGTATAAGTATTTATACAAAGTTACATTTTTACAAGTGCTTTTGATCTAATTACAGAAGGTTATCATGCCTACTTTCTAACTAAAATGGAATATATGTATGAATCTGTTTGAGATATTGTATATTTATATTAGTTAAAAACAATCAAGATGTAAATTTATTCAAAATAAAGCAAAACTCCATGAATTTCATACCTTTAAAATCTCCTAAATCTTTTCAAAACAAATTTGTTTAGTGGTACAGTAATACCCCGACTTACGCAAACCTGGAATTATGCGATTTTCAAATCTCGTCGATTCGTCTTTTGTTTGAGTGCCACGCAACCCTTGATTACTCACTCCCCCCCACACTATTGTTCAGCTTACATGTTCAGATGTGTCGCGCAAAATCCACACATAGCTACAATTTATTTTGTGTTATTTACTTCTGTGTTTGTTATATCTAAGGAGACTTGAGAGACTCTACTATGTCATCCAAACAAAGTAGAACTAATTCTTCTGCATCAAACAAGAAAAGAAAAACTTTATCTTTGGAATGTAAAGTTAACATTGGGCATGTTTGTAAAGTTGAACAAGTTAAGCGAGAATGAAGTCATTGTTATTCCTATTTCAGTAGACTTTTCGAACGATTCATTACTAACGCGTTTAACTCGTTTGACTTTACGACATTTTTCACCTGATTGAAGACGTTCTAAGAATATTTCTTAGAAAAATTCTTTTCAACTATTCTAAGCAGTGCAAAGTAGCGAAATCGGCTTGTTTTGCTGTTAAATTAGCTTAAGTTTACAGGTGTTTAACACGTAATTGAGCTCCTCTTGTATAAAATATTATCCAGAATGATGTATAGATGTTTAATCTAACAAAAAACATAGATAAAGTTTAAAAAAATCACCTTATAAAAGACGGTTTTGACACTAAATCCCTACTTTATGCTAATTTAACACGTGATTGAACATTCTTCTCTGCAAATTAATCAAATATATTTAGAAAAATGTTTACAGAATATTCTAAAAAATATTTTTTGTGTGTTTTATGTAAAATAAATCGCATAAAAAAATATCCCTTTAATGCTATCTAATTGCTTTATTCCTGCATAGACCATAGGAGCAACACAGTCATATTGAGGAAAACTGTATATAAGCTAGAGGGGCCAAATATGCTATATTAAATAATGGCCAAATATGGCCATTATTAAAGACTTCGATACAAAAATGAAAATTTGTGAATTGGCAAAGAAGTTTGATCTACCGGAATTGTCGGTCAGAACAATTATAAAAAGCAAAGAAAAAATTCTCGAAGCTGTGAAAAATGCTCAATCTTTAAATTCAAGCATCATTCGTAAACATCACAGTATTATCGCTGAGATGGAAACAATGTTAAAATTATGGCGTAATAATCAAGTAAATGTGAAAAATTGTAAAATAATATAGGCCTAATTTGTTATACATATGTATTATCTAAGATTTTATTAAACATTTTTTTCTAAATTATTGTTTTCTTTAGTCTCCGGCCCCAATTAAAAATTATTTGTATGTATTTATATGCGAAATTATACCCCGACTTACGCGAATTCGACTTAGGCGGTTACCGCTCGGTCTCACCTATCGCGTAAGTTCGGGGTATTACTGTATTTTGTTGCTTTTTTTTTTATTTAGGTAACACTTTAATAAATTTAGTTTAATTATGAATTTGTTTTCATAGATACACAGCCATACGTCTGTAGGACTTGTGGAAGAGTTTTTGCCGAAAATAATGAACTATCTCAACATGAGTCTTTATGTCGCATAGTGACTTATGAAACTTCTTCAAGTGGTCCTACAGAAGATACAGAGAAACTACAATTATCCTTAACAGATAGCACAAATTCGGACAACAGTAATAATCAAACTGAAGAAAGTGGAATAAATATTAACAAAGTATCGAGTAATTCAAAAGATGTAACTTCGAACAGTGAAATGCCATCTATGATATATTTACCATTGCCAATGAAAGAAAAAGAAATAGAAAATTTAAGTGATGATACATTAAAAGAATACAAATGTTCAGCATGCAGCAAAAGCTTCTCTTCAATTGCACAATTAAGATATCATTTGTACATCCATCTCTCAAATGATTCACTTAATTGTATTGTGTGTTCTTATGCTGCAAACGACGAAACTGATTTATTCGAACACTTCAACATCACTGCTCATCAGGTTGGTTTTTCTTTTCTTATTAATATTTTACTTTGATATTTTAATTATTTGATATTAGGAAATTATCATTAGTATATTATCCCAAAAGGTTCTCTGTATCAGATCAGCCAGCGATTATTGCTTGTATTTCATCTGAACATAATGCATGAGAGATTCATGGCATACTTTTTCAAGTGATGTTACCATTAGTTTATATTCCTCGTCACATTTCTAATTTTATAAATAACTCAGAAAATGTTTCTTTAAATTTGGTTTGTCTAGTTTGTCATTTCTAAATAAAGCAACACAATACATCGACAATCTGCTGAGGAGGACTTTCTATGGGAAATTGGCCTCTGTTTAGGTACTACAAAGATGAAGAGAATCCAGAAAACTCCATGTGTCCAGCCCATTGGTCAGGCATGAACAATGACCAACTACCAGTGTTTAATGGCTTTATCTGTTTGGCAGCTGTTGGCCTTTTTTAATATTATGCACTGTTTGTTTTATGAGAGAGATTGCTTTATCTCTAACACAAACTCGTAACAAGTTGTTTGGATTATACATTTTTCTGAGGAATTTCAATAATTTTTAAAATTAATATTCTCAGTGTAAGCAATGAATTGCTTATCTGTTTTGTCTAAGAAATTAATTAAAATGTAAAAATAACAATGTTGAGATGTAATGAAAAATAGCATTGATTTCCATGTTTAAGATATTGATGCTCATTGGATTAATTTTCAAAAGATAAATCAAAATTTATTGTTTATGTGACTATCACTGTAGATTTTTATACAACAGAAGACTATATTTGACTATATAAAGACTATATTTGATTTTATTTTAAACATTAATGTAATGCAGGAGTTTCCAGACCTTTTTGACTTTGAGGGGTCAACAGCCTTTTATTAATTCCTTCATTTTTTGTTAATACAGTTAGTAATAAATAAATAAACTACTTAAGCCATTATTAATTCATACACTGTTTTCATAAAACAGATCTTAGTGTTCAAATTTATAAAATCCTGAACTGTCATATACCATATATAACCAATTGGATTAATAATTTATTAATGAAGTTTTAATCGACCCCCAGTTGCTCCTTGAAAGTGTGTATTGGCCCTTTTGGGCAACTGGTTTAGTGTATCAAAAGCAAGATAAAAATAAATAAACTGTTCTAGTTACCAGAAAACATGAGAAAATTGTTTCCAAATTAAGCGTTGCTGTAATTGGAAATGCCTTGCATAATAGAAGAGAGATTTTTTTATTGTGGAAGGTAATACAAACAAGAAAAGTTACCAAAAATTAAGGTGATGGTGTATATATGAAAATATCTTGAATCATTTATCCTTCAAGATTATGTCCAAACTTTTCAATAAGTGGCAGTCAATGGGGTCTGTATTAAACAGAAAATGAAAATTCTTCATAACTTGCAGCTATTTTATGAAGAATTATATTATTTATTAAAATCTCTTAAAATTAGAGAAATTCTTAAAATCTGTAATCTCTTTCCTCCACTTGAGGAATGTATCAACGTGGTGCATTCCATCAAGTGGAGGAAAGAGAGTCAATATTTATGGTCTTTATACTAACAATTTAATCTGTGTTTCATTGAGCTACAATTTGAAAAAATTGTAGAACTATAAATTCTAACTGTCGTCCATTCGTCTGTCTTTCCTTAATCTCGAGAACAGAATTAGATAGATGAAATTCGAGACCAGATATGGTAACCTTGGGGGCAAGAGGCCCCAATTAACTACATGTGAACTTCCAATGCAAACTGGAAGTCAAGTTATTTCAATTCAAAACTTTCCCCTGAAAGCAGTTAATAGATGATTGGCATGAATCCATTGCTAACAGAAAAGTATGATGTACAGGAGCAAGACACTACAGTACTAATTTGAGGTGAAGAGCAAATACTTGAAATGAAATAAATTAAAAATATGATTAAAAATTGCAGCCCTGCATTGTGATGATGTCACAATAAATAATTGCTCATATTTATTTATAATCTTGGTGGAATTATTATATGAATTATATAGAAAATCACACCCAAATTACATTTACTAAAGGATTAGAAGGCCACCACCAATAAGTATAGCTTTGGAAAAGGAAAGATGAAGAGTTATAGTAGAAGAGAGAAGAGAAAGATAGATAGGAAAGAGTGAAATATGACATCTCAGAGCACCTGCCAAGTGCCATTTATTAAACACAAAAAGTACAAATAGCCAAAATACAGTGGTCAACAATATAACTGCCTCTGTTTTGAGGCAGTAAGAGCCCCATTACGGCTGACTTGCCTTGGAGCTCAACAAACAATCATGTGAATGTACAACCCGAATGGGGGTATAGACAAATCCTCCATGCCATGGGAGGGAACAAAAGAGAACAGCCGTTTGTACAAAAAACAGCTTGTAACCAGGTGCAAAGGCCTCTAATAGCTAATTTGCCAAAGGGCCCGCAAACACACATACACACGAATGTACAACCCCTTGGGGGAAAAGACAGACAAATCCCCATGTCTTTGGAGGAAACAAAAGAAAGCAACCGTTTGTACAAAAACAGTCCCAAACTGGGCGAAATGGCCTTTAATGGCTACCTTGCCAAAGGGCCTGCACACAAACTAATGCATATGGACATCCCCTATCAAGGGGGAGAGAACCTCCATGACCTTGGAGGGTACAAAAACACAAGCGACAAATTCTCTCGTAAAGGGACTGGGGTTAATGACATTGTCCCTTCAGGTCTAATGGTGTGCGATCAAAGGGTGGTTAAGACACCAACCATCTTAAAACAAAGAACAGAGAATGATGCCACAGTTTATGCTCGTGTAATGTTACAAGCCTACCCTGCAACTCTGTGAGGCACAGACAAAATTAGGGGCAGCTGGAGACACATAGTCGCAGAGCAGACTTCACAGATGCCAAGCCCAAGTTGATTGTTACCAGGAGGGTTGCTTACCTAGCAGACTTCAAGATGTCTGTCGCCCTGATGAAGGTTTCAAAAGCCTGGAGGGTCCTATGATTGATAAGGAAATCTTTCATCTGGCAAGGCTAGTGAAAGCCAACATCAGCCAGGGTGCCTGCCAGAAGCCTTCTTTCTACTTTAATTTTGGACACAAAAATTATGTGCTTTGCATTTTGGTCCTCATCCATAGAGCAGAGGCATTTTGCATCCTCTTTATTAAGAATCGTTTCAGATATGCTCAAAAGTTTCTGTGGTCTAGTATTATGAATTGTGTGGTGGCGAAGTTGGGCTGTTAGAAGTTCATAGTTTGTCTGTCCATAACACTCGGTAGAAACTTGAACACCCAAATTACAGTAGTAATTGAATAAAAGAACCAGATTAACTATTGGGCTAAAATTTGACAAATTAATTATATCTAAATTATATAATTTGGACTAAAGGTAGATAGTTATGCCAACATCTTAATTTAAATTTAATAATTATAAATAATTAAATTAATTTAATTATTCTGGAAGAAAAAATTGATCTGGTGGCCTTAATTTTGCAACTTCTACTCTTACTATGTAGATGCATTACAATTATGTTGGATTTCTGACTGATCTTTGCTTCCAGGCTAATTAATTTATAAGATATAACAATATAGTTCACTTTCTGTGTTTACCATTTTATGATTAAATAAATTGATTTCCTAATGGGAAAAGTCCGACAATTTGTTACTCTGAAAGAGAGATCAGTAAATGTATTTCTGATATATTATTATATCACCAAAGAATTTTGAACTGTATCCAAACTCCATGAAATATTGTAGATAATAAGGAAGAACATAGTGTAGATAATTGATAAAGCATTAATGTTTTTGTTCCTTGAATAATCTATTAAACAAATCACCAATCTGCATTAATCTTTTCTTCCAACAATTAGTAATGTTTTATGTTTCATTCTTCTATGAAACTTCCTCTGTTTTGTCTTTTGAATTTCCTGTGATTTTTTTGCAAATTAACTGATAACTTGTATTATTCCAATTATATATGTATTTCTGATTGTGCAAAATCAAATTAAAATTGACTAAAATAAATAAGTAAACTAGCTTGCTCAACTTGATCTTTGTTAGCCAAACGCTTCCTATTATAATTGGTATAACTTGTTATGTCTGTTTACTGAGTTGAGCAAATGGCTATGTGATAGGTTCTACTATTATAAAGGATATGGGTGCATACCTAGTCTGCATCTTTGATTTTATGAGTAATTTGAATGTGGCAGATGTCAATATGGCTGCTAACCAAGCTCTCCTCACTTTCACCATTATGTTTTATTTATAGATAAAACTGAGGACAGACATAGATTCCATTTTTGCTAGTATTGTGCCCATAAATTGAATCCTATTATTTAATATTTGAAAGCTTAATTTTTGTCTTAATGAAAGGTTATGTTTTGCTTAAACTTTTATTTTACTTTATCTGCACATTACCTAAAAATAAATTGTCAATAAAATTCATAAACCTGTTAATAACTTTAAGAGAAGTATTTTTGCATTATTTATCTTCTAATGATAAAAAGTCATAAATCTAAACTTGCAATACACTTTCTCTTCCAATCAGTTGTCTTGACAGAATTATTGAGATTATAATTATCCAGAAAGAAATATTGCCAGAAAAATCTGACAACATTTGGTTTAGTGTGATTATTAATTAAAGTTAATTATAATTATTAAAATGCTTAAAACATGTCAAGTCCTCTTATGTTTAGACCACATTATATAATTAATTTAATACATGATTTCTAATCTTAGAGAAATCTGGGAAAAGTGGCAACATTTTATTATTTGTTTGGTTGAAAAATTCTGAGCCAGTTTGATTTATATACAGTGGTGCCTCGCATAACATACTTAATCCGTTCCAGGTGCACATCCGTTAAGTGAATAGTCCGTTATGCAAAACGCATTTTCCCATAGAAATACATGTTAAAACATATAATTCGTTCCACAGCATAAAATAACCATACTGTACCATTAAAAAAAAATGAAAATGGAGCAGTCACCAATTATGCCAGGTATTCAGATGTGAGGAGGACGTGGAGGAACACTTTTTTCACACATTCATACAGATACAGACTTTTTACACATTGCAACAGATCTCTTTTTATTGTTTTTTAATCGGAGTCAGATTCAGGAGAGGCTACCGGAGCTTGCAGGGTCAACTCCTCTTGTTCCATCCTTTGTTTTTTTGGCAGCTGGCTTCTTGAAATACATGTCCAAGGTGGTCTGTTTCTCTCTCTCTTTCAACACCTGTCAGAAATGATGGGCAAAGGTGAAATTGTAGAGATCATTGATCCTGTTGGCCTCAGCTGTGTTTGGATAGTGAGTGTTCGTAAACTCCTGAACCTCTCCCCATTTGATAAGGAAGTTCATGCCAACTTTCACTCCTTCTGATTATTTCTTGCTTTGTTTCAATTGAAATAACCTTTCTGTTTTTTTAGAAGACATGATTTGCACAACACTTGAATAAATATAAATACTGAGGTGATGTACGTAATAATAAACAAGGGAGCAAGCCCAATGGGAGCTGTGCACTTCAGATATACTAATACAGTAGAGCGTCGTTTATCCGAAACATCAGTTATCCGAAAGAATCAGTTGGCAAATTTAAATTTTCACTAGTGCTGTGGCGCTGCAATCTTTGGCTATGTCTTGATACAACGGAGAAAAATTTCAGGATGGGATAGGTTAATATATTTTTTCGTACATAATCGGTTATCCGAAAAATAAGTTATCCGAACAACACTAGTCCCCAATTGGTTCGGATAAACGACGCTCTACTATATATTATAAAAATAGCAGATTGTCATTGGCAACGGCAAAAGAGTGGAAACATCATTCGCACTTGTTCGTAGAAAGTCCGTTGTTCGCCTCACGTAACTGTCGAATGGAAAGTCCGTTGTTCACAGCCAGTCCATTATTCGAGGCATACGTTATATGAGGCACCACTGTATTTAAATTGTTGCTTTTATTTAAACTGCTAACAGACCAAAAGTAAAGTTTTATATTTATAATGCCAAAATTGTCCTTTACTTTCATGACTGAAAAAGTGTGTTCTTTGTTAATTGAATAAATCAAGAGAAAAGTATTTTATAAACAACTAATTCTGTATAGTAACAATTTGTATATCAGTTTTGATAACATCATAAAACTATCCTGCATATTTAGGCAGAACACTTAATGTATTATTTATGATTTATTTTCAGAGAAATTAACATGTTCCCTAGAAAGATGTAAATTTATATATTCAATTTATTCTGTGTGTTTATTTAAAACATTAACAGGAATATCATGTGCAATTGAATTTATCCAGAACAGAAATAAAATAAAGTGTATTTTAATTAACAGGTAGATCCAAGATTATATTCCGAAGGATTGGAATTACAATCTTCCAATTTTGATAAGGATTTGGACCTGGTTTCATTAAATACTAATAAAACAGACATTATGGAAATGGCAGAAAAACAGTTGGCGGAATTAAATGTCCTCCCGATGAATTCAAACTCCAAAGCTAACATATCATGTCCCATCTGCCTGAAGCTGTTCAAGTCGACCATGTATTTGAAACTTCACATGAAAATGCATGCAAGTGAGTAATATGTTACAGTATTTTTAAAATATAATTATTAATAGGATTTATGCCTGTCTTAATCTGTATTGTATTTCTGTGATTGTTTTATCTTTGAAAGGAATAAAATGATCATTCAAAAAGTTAATGAAAACATAAAATTGAGAAAAATCAGTTATGTATGTATATTAAATGTTTAAAGATTCAAATATCACTAAATTAAAGTATTCATTGCATACTCACTTCAAATGATCGAATCTGATCCAACTCTAATAATGTTCAGATTGATGACCAGATGACCAAGGACAGTTAAGATGCCATTTTACCACTACAGGGGGGCTGGAATTGAATCTGGGCTGCCAACTCCTTCAGGAGATGGCAGCCCAGATTCATGAGAGACCACCAGAGAGACCAGAGAGACCATCAATTCATTCCAGAGAGACCACCAATTTTTGTGGTGGTCTCTCTGGGATGTGTTGTCACAGTTTCTCACCCTTTGGCAAACTTGTAATGGATATGGAAAAAATCCTCTTAGTGCTCACAGAATAAGTTTTAAAAATGCAGAGAAAAAAATCATATTCAGATTGGATTTGGAAATTACAAGAATCAGATCAAATTTAAACACAGCAGCTTGACCAAATAAGTGTACAGTAAGATGTTAGCCTACTGCCTGGATTGAAACTCGGTTCAGTTTATTGAGCCACGTATTCGCATGCAGAAATAGACTATGGAGAAATTTAACAGAAACAGTTTTCTGTTGGCTTTCTCTTTTCTTCTTTATTGAACATAAACAAGAGAAGAGAAAGTCAACAGTTCTTAAATGCAGAAACTCTGTCTCACAAAAGCAGTTTGAAAATAATGAAAATGGCATTGATGGAAGTTTCACTTTATACCAGATAAACTTTTTATCTTTACTTATGATTGAGGAAAACTCAAGGATTAGGAGAAATGGGATTTTCATATCTGCAAGTTATTCCAAAATTGCTTAAAATTAATATTGTTCAAGAATTGTTAAACCTAGAATCTGAATATCTTTTTTAATAAATAAGGATCTTTTGATTCCGATGAAACCGTGTTTTAATTTAATTTGCTTTATTCAGACACAATAACGTGACTCCTTTTAAACACTTGGCAGATTATTCGTCACTTTATTCAGTTGGTTCACCAACTGAATAAAATGAGTAAATTTTTTCTTTTTTTCAAAAAATCATTGTGCATGTACACTTATGTGGTGCACTTTCTTTTCGATTCTTGTTGGCTGGAATTTTTGTTCTTAACAGAAACAGAAAAACTTAAAAATTTTTCAACTTCAAATTCTGTCACAATCTTTCAACTCAAACAAAAAATAACATTATTTTCTGTTTGTTAATATTTTCTAACATTTGTTTTTGTGTGTGAGTACCTGACTTGATAATTTATCGCAGGCGATACAAACTGGATCGTTATTCCTCATCCCTCATTTTTTATTATGAGTCAGCTTGTCATAACAGACATGACTGTGACTGGCCATTTAATCTAAAGTATGTTGGTCTTAGGTTGAAACAAACTAACAAGTTAGTCAGATAAGATTCAAGCACTGGACAGTATCATTCTCTAATCCTCTCCCACAAGAGTCAGTCGTGTTTTTGACTGTATTTATGTAAACAATATTTCTTCAAAAAGTAAAATATATACGAGGCATGGCATGTCCACAAAGTAAGTAACATTTGTGCATATCCTGTGCATTTGGCCAGGATGTTAAGGTCACGTGTGCATAGTCATGCATACTTCTTCCACTCAAAAATGAACTAGCTAAGCCATATCACTAAGCATGGTTTATAATAATCAAAACAATTGGTCGGCCTAACAGCTGTGAAATAATGATTAGTAATTAGGTTTTTGAATGCAAGAAATGTTTGACCGCATGAAATTTACCAGCAGATGTGTGAAGTTTACACATTGTGTTAAGTGAAGATATAGTGAGAAAGTGGGTTAGAATGATTAACGAAGGAAGGGACAATGTTTATGACGAGGAGCATAGTGGCCGTCCATCCCTAGTCAATAAAGACTTGCTGCACAATGTCAAAGTTGTGACTAAACACTTGCACTTCAAAAAGTTGTGTTTGAGATGGGTGCCAAAAAATGCTAACATGCATTCACAAAATAAAACGCATGAGATTGGCCTTGGAATTTTTGCAGCAGTAAAAAGGGGGAAGAAATGGATTTTTGAAAAGAATTGTCACTGGTGACGAAACGTGGATTTGTTATGTGACACCAGAAAGCAAACAACAATCACTGCAATAGCAGCAAAGTGGTTCCCCAAAAGCCAGGAAATTCAAACACTGCAAAAAAAATCTTGTGCAGTGTTTTCTGCAACTTTCAGGGAATTTTGTTAGTGGAATTCATGCCGCAAGGAAAACAATCAATGTAGAAATTGTCAAAAAGGTACAGAGATAAAGAACAAAAGGCATGGCCTGCTTGGTTTCAGTGTAGTGTTGTTGCACAACTGTATGTTGCAAACACGACACAGGAGCTGCTTAAGTCATTTTGCTTGGAACAATTCACTCACCTCCCTATAGTTGGACTTAGCACCTGGTGACTTCCATCTGTTCTGGTACCTCAAGACATTTTGTGACCCTTTGTATTTCAGCAATGTTCACGAGGCAAAACAGAACGTCCAAAATGGTTCAAGTCACAGGCAGTGGAATTCTATGAATTCTATCTTCATTTAGTTCCAAGATAAGTGCCTCGATTTGCATGACAATATGTAGAAAAGGAGATTAAGCTATATATAATTTTAAGGTAATTAAATATTTTTTGTTTCAATTACCTACTTTTTGAAATAGCCAAATGGTACTTACTTTCTGGATGCACCTCATACCTGTACATTAGAATCCATTTAATGTAATCACTTTAGAGCTTGTCTATACCGAAATGGGCTAAGTAAATAAGCTACGGTTAATAGAAATATTGATTCTATTGACTGATATTAACAAGATCCATTAAAATAATCAAAAATGTATAAGTTGAAGATTTGCTAATTATAATTAATTAACAGCAATTCATGCAGTGTTGTTTGCCTGGTTAATACTGCCCTAACAACAATTGATATTTGATTAAAACAATTACCATATGACATTTAAAATTTCGTTGAGGCCAATAATGATTGTGCCATATACTGTACATAATGGCTAACAGTGTGAAAAGAGAGCTTAACATCTAGAAATAATGGTAACTATAACTGAAATCTAATTAGAGTAAGCAATGTTTTTATAATATATTTTAACTTATTGTTATCAGAATTAGCAAATCACAAAACATATCCAATTAAAATTTCAGAATCTACTGTTTTTCTAAGAAATGATTAGAGTTTTATATAATTATTTTTGTACATGGTTTATTTTCAATAGATCCCAAAGGTTTCCAATGTCCAAAGTGCAAGAGAAACTTTCAATATAAAGACAGTCTCAATAAACACATGTTGAGTCACACCCAGAGTCAAAACTTCATGTGTTCATTATGTGGGAAAATGTATAAGAGAATTTCGCATGCCAGAGAACACATGCGAGTTCACACTTCTGAAAGACCTTATGCTTGTAATTTATGCGAAAAGGGATTCAAATCTAGGGTAAGTGTTGTTTACAATACGGCAATTATTATTTTCTCGATACTTATAAATCTAATTAATTTTACAGAATGGTTTAAAAGTTCACAGTAGGACCCATTCCGACGAAATGGCTTTTAGTTGCGAGTACTGTCCTTGTAGGTTTCGAGAAAAGGCCGCCTTGGTGCGTCACAGAAGAACGCACACGGGAGAGAAACCATTTTCTTGCAAACACTGCGGAAGATGCTTTGCAGAACATGGCACTTTAAACAGACATTTAAGAGCAAAAGGTATGGAGAATTAATTAGGAAGACTTAAAGTTAACAAATTTTTTAAATACATATCGATGTTTATATTTAAAAAATCTAGTTCCGTGCACGATGCAAGGTAAATCGAGAGGAAAACTGAGAAAAGACGACAGCGAAGCCATTAGATCGATTCTTTACGACAACGACAAACAGGACCACATGCAAGAAGTTAACGAAATGAATGTCTATTCGGCCGTAGAAACTGCCCCGGATTCATTCACAGATTTAGGAACACCTGATGAGCAACAGCAGTATATAATAACTATGGATGACCAGGTAACGCATGGAAGAAAAATTTTACCAGTCCATTTAACAACAACAAAACCAAATTCTTATTGTCATTATCATCATCTCAACATTCAAAAATGACATTCTAAATTCTACCTTTACTTAAATACTTTCGTTCAAAATTCCAACACTTCAATAACAAATTATTATATACAAATGAAATATTTATTTTCAGGAACTTCTAAACACGGCACAAATCCAGAATGCCAGTTCACTGATAATCATCAGCCAGTCAGATGGTACTTCAGAAACCGTGGTGGGTGAGATTCCCATCGAGACAGTCATGGTCGTACCGGAAGCCGAAGCGGAACCGGAAGAGATAATCACCTAAATGTGCTGTACTGGTAGATGATGTATATTATAATATGCATGTGTATAAATTCCGGGGAAGTAATGCGTGTACAAACAATAATTCTTTTGTTTTGTTGGAAGTTATGGTAACAAAGGGATTGCATACAACAGATGATTCTAATATAATTATCATTTAACCTGTTAAAAGACCAAATTGTTTTTCGAATTCATTTTTGAATATACAGATGATTGAGAGCATTACTACAAAATAAATATTTATATTTTAATTTTATTTGGCCCGAGATTTTTAATGTCTCCGATAAATTAAATAACACTTTGAGATTTAAACTGGTTTCCACGCAAACTGTGACTGTTTGTGTTCCAAATGTTGTGCCAAGCAATACATTGGCAATTATTAAGTCCAGCCTCACTCGTGATACCACACACCAGCCCCTCTGCCTCCCACCCGTAGACCTTTCACTACCAAAATTTAATAGCATTCATGCCCCGTATAATATAGAAATAACCCCATGGAGTTTCAAAATTTTTGGTTCTTCAGTCCCGAGATATAATGCACAATTTTGTAAGGTTATTTTTACATTTTTGGACACCCACCGTGTAGAAATGTTGCGAAATTAAAAACACCCAGTCAAAACTCCTCTTGAGATATGGAACAAGACTCTCTTCTAGCTCCCCACTCCACCACCAAAATTTAATAGCATTAATGCCCCTCATATACAAGCCACCATGCCAAATTTCGTTTCTTAATACCCAGTTACCCAGTTACCCAGATACCCAGTTACTCCACCCTGAGATATTAACCATTTCTCGACATCTAAACATGTTAGGAACGTCAAGAAGCTTGACAAATGAGTACCGCACGAACTGGGTGAGAGAGATAAGGAGCGCGATTAGGAGGTTTGCAATTCTTTAATTATTCATCATAAAGTATTCAAATGAAATTCTTCCTCGTCCATCTTACACTATAGACATCATTTTTATACATTTGGAGTTTCTTGGCAAGTAGAGTCTTCAAGGATGAGGTTTTAAAGGAGCAATAAAAAGTACCTTTAATGATTTTTTTTGACTTCTCATTCTAGTGTTTTCTATCAAACTGGCATTAACATATCTTAAGCCTGATGTTAGTCTATATTAATAGGTTGAAAATGTTAGTAAAAAATAAAAGAATTTTAAAAATATCACTTTTGGATAGCTGTTATTATGTTCTATGTATGTATTGTCTCTTTAATCCGATATTAAGTTCGGTAGACTATCATTACAGCTTTCAGGTTAGACACTTCTTTTATTGTTTCCACATATGCATTTCGGACTTATATAAATGTTATGTGGAAACAATAAAAAAGTGTCTAACCTGAAAGCTGTAATGATAGTCTACCGAACTTAATGTCGGATTAAAGAGACAATACATACATAGAAAAGAATTTTATTAAGCTCAGCAAAAATTAGGTGTTGGTGAAATTGGTATAAATTTTTACTTGGCGTAATTTTTTTTACATACATCCAGTCAGAAAACAAACTTTACCACAAACACAGTTTACAGATTAGTACTGTTCCGAGAACCATGCTTTAGTATTGTAATTATAAATACTATTAAACCATTAAAGAACTCAAAACTTTAGTCAAAATTTACAGAATACAGATTGCAGTACAAAGATATAATCTATTTACCAGATGCAGTTTTCATCCTTTTTATCATTTCTTTAGTGAAGATTTTGGGCATTATGGTACTGTGCAGGGATAATTTTACTTACAAATTGTAAAACAAATACATTGTCTGTGTTTTACTGTTCAGTTTAAGATGAACATTACTATTAATGGAAAATTTTTACCCACAGATTTAAAATTTGTCAATTATAATAACTAGAAATATAATTTAAAACAAAGGGATGACATATCGATATTTATTTATGATATTTACATTAATTTACATATTTATTTTTATGATTAGCAGCAATAATTTTCTCTCGTCCGCTCCTCAAAATGTAAGTAAAAAATTTGGTTACATTGCATTACAAAAATTATTGCAAACACTTTGTAAATTTATATTTTCTACTTTATTTTATCCACTAACCTCGTGCGACCTAGAATTTTCAGTTGTTTACTCTTGGCTCTTCTGCAATATTGAAGCCATTTAGCTCTCCCAGTTTTGTTAGCAAGAAAATGGAACAATCTTACACGAAAAATACCTAACATCATTGAATCTTTTAAAACAATAGATAAGAAGAATACCAGTTAATTGAGATCAAAGAAACAGCCAACTTTGCTCTACAAACACTGTATATGCTACTGCAAAGGAACCAATATGGCTACTGCCGCAATGCTTCACGGTACCTTGTATTTATAGACCTCTGTTTTACTATCTGAAACATTTTGTTGCTGGAAAATCCAGATAACGTTGTCATAATGTATCACAGAGTTCCCACCTTTGGCAAAAAATCTTAATTTCAACATAACGAAATGGAAAAAGTCGTATCAGTTGAGTAGACAAGTTTTTGCAAATAATAATCATGTGCTGTGAGTCCAATTATATTTCCGTAAGAGCAGAATCGAAACAGCCGATACTTTCGTCCATAGATAGAATTCTAAGACGTGTATAAACCCGGGCGTAATGCCACATTACTTTATGTGGCCTTCACACTCCATAAACAAACCACAAACATGTTTAAATAATAAATAATACCTTAGGCATTTTATTAATTAATGACTTACGACGACTTTGTAAATAAATATACAGCATTTGTCCGGACTAGCGTTAACCTTTAGTAAAATATATTCTGTACAATATATAGTATATCACACTAAAATATTGCGGGTATCACAATTTCCTAACGTTCAACGGCGATGGAGGAGAGGCGGTAGGAGGCAAACTGTACAGAAATATGGAGAGACACACCAGAAAGGTTCCTAGCATGAAGGAGAAACCCAAGTCCGTGTGAAAGAAGGCGGCGGATCCAATGGCGGTGACGATGATGGCGGCGGAGGATACGAAATTCTTTAGAATGTTGTCCAGGTGATGCATTACTAAAGACGCGCATAAGCCTCCGGCACTGGAAAGGACTGTAAAATATTAAAACGATTTAGTCTATTCACTTATTAATATATATATAAGTGTTTGTTATTCATTAAATAATTAATTTAAGGTTCGGGAACATTTTGCAGGATTCCCAAGGGATCTGAGAAAGGCTCCTGAGTTCTCCAATTGGAAGCAGAGGGAATATAAAATCCCATGCAGAACATAGACATATTATTAAAATTATCGCTTGGGTAAAAAAATCCTTTCTTACAAATTGCTTTCTAATTCGTGAGAATTAAACTGGCCGTTATACTTTGTATTAAAGATTTTTGCGATCTTTAATACCAAAGTATAAAAGATTGTAAAAATATGTTAAACAATTTAATTTTTATTTTTGTTTCTCGGTATAAAATTCTTGAGTCAGTTAGCTTTTGACTACTCAAGTTCCAAATCTGTCATTAGTTGACAAAAATCTAGCAGCATGCTAAAGATGGTAAAACTCTTTTATGGGCAAGTTCGATTTTGTGTAATTGCTGTGATATAGAACATGGAAAAGTGCAAGTCTGTTGATTTATCATTGAAATTGAAAAAGCAAGAATCAACCAATTAAAAAGTGAAGAGAGTTGCAGAAAACTTGCAGAAGAGTTTGGCACCTCAAAATCGACGGTCCAGAATGTCGAAAGCAACTGCAGTGCACGAAGGAAAAGGTTGAAGAAAACAAATAATGAAGAGCCAAATGACAGTGTTGGATTTTTTCGTCGCTGTCAAAAAAGGAACATTCTGATTAATGGGCCAATTTTGCAAGAGATTCTTGCAACTAAAATCTATGTTATTTTGTGTATGGAAAGAATTAAGCAACCTGTTGCTGGCAGCAAAGTTATCGATCCAGAGTTTAGCCTTGTGTGACGAATCAGCATCAGCTGACCCTGCTGGATTTGCTGGAAGCAGTTGATAGAAAATACCAGTCTCATCAGTAGTCTTCTGGCTTAAGTTTTGGTAACTTAAGCCAGAAGACTACTGATGAGACTGATATTTTCTATCAACTGCTTCCAGCAAATTTGCAGTAGAAAAGGATGATATGTAAAGAATAAAAAAATTCAAAAGAGAGATTTATTGTTTTGTTTTGTCATAGCATTTGCAATGAAAAGTTAAAGCCTCTTGTGATTGGAAGTGTTACTGGCCAAGAGTCTTCAAAGTAAACAATGTTTGTAATATGGTAATATAACAAGGCCTGGGTAACAGGAAACATTTTCTCTGAATGATTATGTGAACTTAACTGTGAGATAAAGTGAGCTAATTGAACTTGTTGCATTGTTATTCATTGACGACGTGACGAGTCATGTCCGTATCAGCCCATCACGTGTTGAAATCAAATCCTTACTCCCAAATTTGATGAATGAAGAGAAATCGCTAGACCAAGTTTATTACATCAGTCATAATGTTTCCGGAAAAGATTTGTGTATTTTCCCGTACTGTAGTGACATCGTTGTGCCACCATTAAAGTTATTGCCAGAACTATGAAACTGCAAAACTATAGAATTTAGAATATAATTGATTTTAAAATGACTAATAGAAATTTGTTCATAATACCCACTTGTTGGTAATTGTACGAGTTTTTATATATTAAATTATAATTACCAACAAGTGGGTATTATGAACAAATTTCTATTAGTCATTTTAAAATCAATTATATTCTAAATTCTATAGTTTTGCAGTTTCATAGTTCTGGCAATAACTTTAATGGTGGCACAACGATGTCACTACAGTACGGGAAAATACACAAATCTTTTCCGGAAACATTATGACTGATGTAATAAACTTGGTCTAGCGATTTCTCTTCATTCATCAAATTTGGGAGTAAGGATTTGATTTCAACACGTGATGGGCTGATACGGACATGACTCGTCACGTCGTCAATGAATAACGATGCAACAAGTTCAATTAGCTCACTTTATCTCACAGTTAAGTTCACATAATCATTCAGAGAAAATGTTTCCTGTTACCCAGGCCTTGTTATATTGCCATATTACAAACATTGCTTACTTTGAAGACTCTTGGCCACGTAATTTTTCCTAATGTAAAGAAAAAAACATGTTATATGCATAATGGGGAAATATTTTTAAAACTGATAAAAATTTTAAGAAAATTTAAGACCTATTTTCTTCCTAGAAAATAATTGGCAAAATTGACTTCTAAAATTTTACTAATAATGCACTGTTATTGTCTATCGGGAAATATTTATATTGCCATTTAATTCATAAAGTAGTCCAAAATATTTACAAAATGTCATAGAATTAAGTCTAACGCAAAATTTTTGGATTCCTACAAACTTGTATTTTCTAATTTATCTTTAGATGGACAGCTG